TCTCACATCTACCAGCTTAGAGAGCCACCTTCGTAAATTATTTTCCTTCCAACCGACACTACCTATAGGTGTAACTGACGTGCAATACCAGTCATCGCCAAGCGAAGGATGCTATATTATTACATCGATTACACTGAGTGCAGCACCGAAAGAGTTCATTTCGACTTTGTGGCGTTGAAGTTGGAATCGTTGCTATCAAGGGTACTCAGACATAAATTGATAATTGCTGTCCGTGAATTGGCGGCGGACCAAGCCAGTATTTCACGCAAATTAGGGTGCACGACTACATAATCCTTGGCAACTCCCGTTAAGAAACCTGTGGATGTGGTCCATTTAACAGACACATTTCAACGCTCCCAAAACGCGCGCGCGGGCGTGTGTGTGTGTGTGTGTGTGTGTGTGTGTGTGTGTGTGTGTGTGTGTGTGTGTGTGTGTGAGTGTGTGTGTGTGTGTTTATGTGTGTGCGTGTTATCTGACTATATTAAGCGATAACTTATGACAACTCAGATTCATGGTAAGTGTGTAGTTGGAGCCTGTTTAATTGTGTCAAATCACTTACATCATTCGCAGATGCAAGCCTAACTTGCACGGTAAAGCTCAATGCTCAGTGAATTGAAACGTCCTAACTTCGCATGCAGAATTTTCCCATATGTTTACCCCGAATCTATGTTTAATTAATCACGCTAGCACCACCTAACTTATGTTTTAGCATCAATTGATTGATATACGTGACGAAAAAAACGATAGTTTGATGTCCTGCATCACAATTCTCACAGTAAACCTTCAAATCGCATGCGAGTCTGCCTATCCTAAGCTGAAATCTGAACATTTTCCACAGCTTGGATAACTTTCACTAGTTGTGAAACTTTCTTTCTGTACGTAGAGAGATTCGCGTCACGAAATCTAGAAGTAATGACCCCTGTAGCGCTAAAGAACGGGTACACGGCGGGCGCCGAAACAGGCGGCGGCGGTGGAGCATAGGCGACTCATTGCCATGACATCACATCACCACCATCGCAGCGGCGGCAGTGTTTGTTTTTGTGGCTAATGGTTATTCTGAAGTTTCTACATGCTGTTTCAAAGTTTACTGTTTATTTTGTTTTTTCAATGCTCTGCTCTTACGGGACAGTTCCTGCATTTGACGCTAGGCCAGTGGCGTTGAAATAAAGTATCTATTGACGTAGTAGAGGCTTCAAGGCAGACAACGTGCCTGAGATGCCACCCTCAAGCGTGTCACAATCAGTTAGGCTAGAGGTGGGCGCAAGAGTGCGGTAGGCCAGCGCTCCTCTTTTTGGTAAACTAAGTCTAATGGCGCTCAACTGAGAGAATAGGGAAGGGCGCTCTGGCGGAATTTCACTTCACCCCCCCCCCTAATGGGGAACTCTACAAACGCCATTAAGACAAGCCACTCGGGGAATTATTGGATTTGTCGATGGTACTTGGATAGCGGATTAAGCAGGCTCTGGGCGAAAGCAGTCCCTCCATATACGGGTTTTGTCGTAATCAGCAGCAGTAAACCAGGCGCAGACACTACAGACACTGAAGCGGTGATGTACGAAGCGGCGTTTCAAAGAAGGACGTTTTAGGAACTACTTCGTTTTGGGTGGTACAAAAGAACGTCACCGTTCCATTTAGGAGTGGTAAAAATGTGAAGGTAACATTCTACATTTTGATAAGCTGAGTACAATTACCACTTTTTTTGTTGCGAATAAAGGCATATGTAGACACATATGGTCTATAAGTTTCTGTATAAAACTGTCCGGTATATGCGCTTCAAAGACGGTTTATCTAGATTAAAGCTTTTCAGAATTAGTAATATTGTCTGTCAAGAAATGCCACTCCCGCCCCTCGGTCTGTTGTCGCTTTAATTTTTCGTGAACAAGCAGTGAAGATAGTGTAATTTATCTAGTGTTTGTGATGCTTAGGACTGCGTAGATTTCACAAAAATGGCACGGTACAGAAGCACAAGCGACATGCGCTCACTCTTAACAATTTATTTCACTATTCAAAAAGGTGAACAAGAAGAAAAACTATTCATTACCGTGATATGCGATCCTAAAAAGAACTTTCCTTGTCGGTGCTTCTTGACTAATCAAGCCCGTAACAAGTTTTAAATGAAGTTGGAACAGATGCTGACCAAATGTTTGTATTCTTTATTAAAAATTTTAATCGATTGCTGATAATTATATTTTTGTTGCAATTACTGACGCGAAAAGCATCACTAACTTCTCTGACAAAATGTTTTTATGGCTAGAAAAACAATACAAGAATTGGCAGATCCCACGAACCCGGGAATCGATGTCACGCGAAGCGTGCGGAGGAAAGGTGACAGTGTTGCGATTTTCGTTTATTTTGTGACACGTCATGAAATCACACTAAATATATGTACAAACAGTTGCACGCACAGACATATGCTGAAGAGTCGCAGATGTTCATATAACCAGTTATTTGCACTTGCGCAACGATGCCAACTGGAACATATGTATTAGCAACACCACAAGCTGATATGAAGTGCTGATGCTCGCGAGGGTGCTGGCCCTGGACACTGCTACATAAATCAACTTCAGCGCATGACAACTAATCCCAATTGACGTTAACCCGATGTGACGGATGCATGAAAGGATCACATGTGTAATGTTTATAAAAATGGGTAGGCAGCACTGCAACCACTATTGACGTTTAACGAAGATGAACGTCTACTTTAAAGGTAGTTCTGAGACCTGGCGTAGCTCTGTGGTAAAATGCTTGATTGACACGCAGAATGCTAAGGTTTGATTCTAGCAGGGTCCGTGACATATTTTCCTTGCATTTGTCGGGTTGACGGTGAAGATTTCGGGTATTTCTCAACGTTAGCACGTTAAAATTTCCCATGCGTGCTCTCGTCGTTCCTGGATAGATACTAAGTGCAAATCACTTGTGGCACTAACCCGCATACCAGCGGCATGTACCCACACGTGGGTATGCGCCACTGTTTGGCGGTAGGTGCTTGACAACGTACGTCATTGGATTATGACATTATTGAGGTCTTGAGCAGCGCGTCATATTTGTCAAACCATCTTACCCTCCCATGCTAATTTCGGTTCACACCATTTTAAAGGGGTCACCTCGAGAGCACTCTTACGTAAGCAGCTAGATAGATAGATAGATAGATAGATAGATAGATAGATAGATAGATAGATAGATAGATAGATAGATAGATAGATAGATAGATAGACAGATAGATAGATAGATAGATAGATTGCTGCGTGTTCGTACGAACACACGTACCTACGGCGTTACACACGTGAGTCAAAGAGCTGCTTCGCATCTAGAAGAACTACGCATGAAACGAACATATGAGTGTGCACACCGTGAGCGCGAACAACTCTCACAACATTACATCTTCGTGTGTGAGCAGCGTGCTCCTTTCGTAAATGCGTCTGTGACAGCGAGCGTCGTGATCTTCTGTGACTTCTTTATTCACTAAAACATCAATCCAAGCTTGCGGCGGAAGGACAAGGGTACAAGGCACCCATATGTCGAGATATGCGCGTGCGCTTGTGAGCTATCAATGTGTGGGGTTTAACGTCCCAAAACCACCATATGATTATGAGAGACGCCATAGTGGAAGGCTCCTGAATTTCCGACCACCTGTGGTTCTTGCATTCAAATCTGAGCACACGGGCCTACAACATTTCCGCCTCCATCAGAAATGCAGCCGCCACAGCCGGGAATTCGAACCCACGATCTGCGGGTCAGCAGCCGAGTACCTTAGCCTCTAGACCACCGTGGCGGGGCGCGCGCTTGTGAGCGATCACGCCAGATTGTATCTACACACACTTTGATCAAGCCACGTTAAGGCGCATGCGCATAGCAACGTGCAGGGCGACGACTTTTTAGCAAGTGCGCCCAGTACGCGCTTTTCGTGCCGTTTCGGTACTGATGACGGAAGCACGTGGAAGTTGCAGAGCTTTGAGGGCTGCCAACATAACTTTGTGTATATAAATGGCTTGTCGTTTGCAGCACTCACAGTACGCTCGGTGGCGTAGTGCTTAGCACCACGCACAGCGGATTGAAGGGTGATTGGTACGACACCGCGCAACAGCAGTGTTTCTTCTCGTTTTATCCTTGCAGTCTATGGCAATTTCTTTTACAACGTCATATTTGTAACGAAATTATGACAGCGGATCCGTGGTTAACCTAAACACCAGCATAAAACACTTTCGCGTTAAAAGCCATGTTGTCCGTACACTGTGGGTTACACTCGTCTTCATGACAATACTCTGCTATCATACATCGCCTATCTTACGTTAAAGAACGCTCATGTTTCCCCAGTTTGATTTAGACTTTGTCGTGCGCATGCTAAGTTAAGCAGCAACAGCAAGGAAAGTTCATTTCGTGAGGAAAACACCTGATGTTATATAAGAGTTTTTTGTTTACTTCGTGTGTAATCTAAATAAAAGTGGAGTTGAGAATGCGCGCATGTTATGGGCACTCCTTCTGTCCCTTGTCCTTTTTTTAGAGCGCTGCACAGTCCTAAGCATCAATTCATAAAAACTACCTCAACTTTCTATTCACATTTTGAGACAAATACATATTTGCTATATAAACTACGTACATATTTATGCGCACCAACCTTTCAACGGCGGTCGTAAAGGGCGTTGCTGTTATTACCGTACTATGAATTTCACTGAAGTTCGACTCAAATAACGTCGCTTGCAGTCGGTTGCACTAAGGCACAAAATAAATATGAAAATTCGGGTCGTACTTATCTCGTGATGCGGTGCAAAACTTTATAAGAAATAATGAGGATATAGTAAGCATGCTGGCGCATAGAGCATAAAATCTTGAAGTCAGCAAGATATTGATATGAGCAGAAACTCACTGAGGCGCTTTTGCAGGAATTTTTTTTTACATGACGACTATTATACGCTTGAGCACTTGTATGGCACTGATATAATCGTCATTAGGTATTAGTGAAATGCAACCCTACAGCACGATGATAAACAGTTGGTACGTACAATTTGTTAGTGAGTCGACCTTAAAAACTGCACAGGAGTAGTCATGTGCCATGTAGAGCATAGTTTCAACTCTTCTGAAGGTGCCTGAAAAAAAAGCGATGGTCATTAGCCTACGAGTCATTGGGGTTAATCGGCCGCACGGCAGAGTAGTGCAGTCACGAGATAATAAAGCTCATTATTTTAACATCACTCTTCAGCTTTACGGATAATAAGGTCGAAGCGGACAGATTGCAGAGGAAGTTTGTCGGTCGTATTCATCTTACGAGATTTGAATGCGTAGCCATCACTCATCAGCGGACAAGCGGAACGGTCACTAGGTCTGCCGTTGATTGATCCACTTCACTTGTTACCTAAAACTGTTATTGTGCCTATAGCGGAGAGGCCACCACTCCACTTTTCAATTGGAGAAACGCAATCATTGATACAAGTGTATTGTGCGGAATCCTGAAGAGTAGTGAAAAGGCTCCGAAAGGGATGAAGTACAATCTCTCATATGTGGCGCAAAGCAAGAACGAATGTTCAGTGGCCATATGTGGCGAATTTTCTTAAGGGTTCCAATGCACGCCTCATAAATTATTGCCTTGAACAGGACAACTTGTGTTGGCAACCACTCGGTAAAAGTTTCGTGTTTGTTATGTGTCGTCTAAGCTCGGCAACAAGTTTCTGCGGCAGAGTAGCAAAAGCTGCGATGCCCAAGCACGCCCGTTCTTACTACGCTTCTGCATGCAGTCCACTAACACTAATTTTCACATACTGCGTACATTAAAAAACCAAATTGAAAGATACCAATAATACGTTCAACATTGTTAGGACTGTTATTAAGAGGCTAACACCATACAGGACTTTCTGGTTTTGCCATTTTGAGTTTTCTGGTCTTCTGGTGTCATTTCAGCTTTCATTTGCCCCGGTGAACAACGATGGCATCACTCAGTTGCAGCATGTTCACGTCGAAACGTGTGAACGAGCATAAGTGTGTGTTCGTTACGTTGTCTCTGTTCATTGAGCTGAGAGAAACGAAGACAATGGTGCGTCGTAAAATATTTCGTTGCCCGCACATGCAGTCACCGAGAAACAAGACGTGTGTGAGTGACATCATCACCGAAAGCGGGATTGCATTATAATATAACCACCTTGAAGTGTCACCGGCGACCGGCCAGTTTTCAACAGGACCAGCTGATTGAAAGCAAAAAGTGCCATTGCAAACTAAAAGCAATGGCCCTTTTTCTAAGTTGCGTTTCATACGTGGTCGGTATTTCAGCTGCCTAGTATGATCACTATGATGACCGCGTACTGTTACGCCGTACCCGTCGGCATTTATGAATGGAGTGGTTCTTTGCGCTTTGCGATGGCAGCAATATGCGAGAATAAAACTAACAGTGCAAAGCTTCACCTGGGCAACAGACGCGTTCCTGTTTATTATGCTGTTGACTGGGCAAAACAGCGTTTTTGGCGAAGCAAAGATTTCGTTTCAACCACTCGGCGCTACCAACATCAGACGTCCGCTGATGATCGGTCGTGGCCAAGATTTCTGCTACCCATCGATGCCTTCGCGCCTCCAGAAATTACTCGTGTCTTCGAAAGAACAAAAACAACGATGCCTTGTTGCCGACAGTGTATTCACTGAAATTTAAAACATATTTTTGTGCCTTTGCGTTGTTTTTCTATTCACCCTGTTCCTGCTCAGACATGCTTTTTTTTGCTGAAATAAATCTGAATGCTTTAAAAAAAGATTCTGGTGCTTTTCCTTTAAAAATGAACAGTTTATTCTTTTCTTACCTAAAATTGTAACATTTAATAAACGGTGCTCATGTGAAAGCGACCATGTTGAATGCGTTTGCGAAATTGAAATCGCACTACAGCGGAGTATTTGGCGTTGTGACATGTGTGCAGAAACACCACCCACTTAGCCTTGGCTGTGCTGCAACATAAAGTTGTCGCGGAGTTGAGTGTGAAAGCTGGTGCTTGCTAGCACCAGTTGACACTGGCTAGTACCGGTTAACGTTTATGTAATATTGGATATCTCTCGTTTAGTTCACAGTAATATTACACGCGGTGCCTGCTGTCATCTGGTCCGGGACAACGCATGTGCGTGCTTGCTTACCGTCAGCTGACGTTGGCTAATTGTTGATGTTGTTTCGTGATTGCGTAGTTTTATGCTTGCGATCAGGCATCTAGTTTCATGGTTAAACGCGAATATGACCATCGATAACGACTGTCCCGCGAAATCGGGGACAATTGATGGAAAAATTCGTGGTCAGATGGTGACGTCCCATCACGTGGTGACGCCTCAAGATCGCTAGTTTGGAACGTCTCGTCATGACATTACGAAATCTGCTGTGGCGTCGTGCGACGTACCACCACGTGTTGCCGTTGCCTGGCCATTTTTCGAAAGGCGAACAAAACCAGAGGGCGCGCGACCTGAAGGGAAGAAGCTGAGAACGACGCCTGGCAACGGCACGTGAAGCTTTCACTCGTATTCTCTTCCTCCTTATCCATCGACTGGAAAGAACAAGAGGACAGCTTTTGCCTTGAAGCCCTCATGTATTCTTTAGTCCAATTTACCAACAATCTATAAATTTTTTTATAACAATTAATGATAGACCTTTGACATTGCTAATCTCTTTGTTTACCTACAGTAAAGTCTTTTATACACCCCTCTCCCCTTTTTTTCTCTTAATCTCACTGCCACGTGATTCATGGTCGATCCCTCGTGGAAGGTTGACCCGTTCCTCTTGCGTCCGCAAAAAGAGCCTACCAACCCTTTAGGCAATTGCGCGATTGAACCTGCGTTCTTTTTTTTTACTGTCGTTCACATTGTAAGCAAAAGTAAGCCGAAGTTGGGGTTTTCAGGGGCAAAGCTCCTCTGGCTTGGGGCAAGTTTCTTGTCGCGCTGAGGCCACTGGATCCAGAGGGCGAGCGCGAACACTTTCCACGCGCTTCTTTTCTCATCGCCTGGAGCTCAGTAAGTGCGCGACTCGATGCAGCTACTCATCATGAACACCTTGGAAAGACAGGCAGCGATGCAGAGAGCTAACAACGCGGCTGCGATGAGGGCCCTGCTCGAAGATCTCGTGGTGAGAACTTGCGAGGCTGAAAAAAGAAGCCAGCGTCGGCAGCAATCGCAAGTCACCACCGGCATCGATCCGGAGGCAGCGGCAGCGGAGACGGCTGGCGTAGCCGAATCAAAGCGGGCTCGTCGACAAGCGGATCCTGAATTGAGAGCTCGCGAAGTAATTGTTGCACGCAAGCGGTGGCAAGAGAACCTCGACTCGGAAATGGCGCGGCAAGCAGTGGTCAAATGCCGCAAATGGTCTCTACGTGAAGTTGGTTGGGCCGACGTGTGCTTCAAGCGCAACTTCCTAGATTACTTGCTCGGCTACAGCTGTGAGTTCTACGGTTAAGGTTCCAAATCATCAGAGGGACCTGTCTCGACATAGCCTTCTCCAACTTTGAACGACAACCCTTCATTCAAGATCCTCTCACTACGCACTTCACCGAACACAAAAGTTCAATCAGTAACGTGTTCATTGTATATATTCTCATCGATATGTAAATGATTACATCGTGCGTGTATAAAGGGCATATGATAGCAAGCGTATGAAAAAAATTAACATTTTGTGCATAAATGCATATGGTATTACCCCTAGGATAACGTGTAGAGTCCCTATATATATGTGGACGAATGTTAAAGGATTTTAAGAATAAGCATTTCAGCTTCGCCCCACTCATCCTCATTCACTTCGAAAAGATAGCGGTATTTTTATCCACTCATAACATCTCAGTTTGTTACATTTAATTATTTATCTCTGTCTCTCTCTTTTATACACAACACGTCCAGGACAGTGTGAGTGTTCGTTGGTTAGACGATCACACATGGTTCTTTTCTTACTTTTAAAGTGCTTGTTACAGGGTGTGTATTCAATACTCTACACTCATCTTTTGCTGATTGGATTAGGTAAACTTTATTTGTGTTTGCAGTTGGGCTCTCGCACACCCCGACGGGCGTCTACGTTGTCTTCAATTTTAGGCTAAGAATTGCCAACGTTCTTCGAGCTATTCTGTGTTTAGTAGCTGGGAACTCCTCATTACAACTCTCATATTTATTTTATGTTGATATCTTTCAAAGCGAAAATGTTCTGACATATTTGAAATATCTTTTTGTCTCTCGGCTGCGCCCTGCACACGCTCCATAATCATCCCTTCATTCAAGCTCTCAGCTTCCCTTTGTGAAGCCCCTTGCTCTCGCCCATTCCGACTACCCTCCTAGGGTGCTTCAATAATTGAGCGTCTCTCTTCCATTTCGTGCTTTATGTGGGGCGTGCCATCTTCATCGCTGCCGTTTATTTCCTTTCAATGCACCGTTCATGCACATCATCACAGAGTGGTTATTCTGAAAGGCGAGTTGTCCAGCAGGGTTCCTTTTAGCGACGCATTATGTTTCCTTGTCCTGTCATTGCGTCATCTGCATGGTTATTCTATCTATCTTTGGCTGCAAGATAATGGACTGTCATACATAACGCGCTTTGCTGGTGTCATACTTCTTTTTGTGTTCTTTGCTGCATGAATTATTTTCACGACTATCATTTACTTGTCCGCGCTTTGGCACAAGCAGCCTGCTGGACAACTCACCTGCTTCAATCACGAATGCAAGTAAACGGTCAAACTGCACGGCTTGAAGATCTTAGGAAGAAGCAGTGCCAATTAAGTGCACAAAAGTTTAGTAGTGATGGTCTTCGAGGAAACTGGACAATCATAAGTCAACAGCCTCTTAATACTTAGCGAACATTTTATAAAAACAAGATTCGTGCACAGGACGAATCTGGGAATGAGTGATCAATGTATTCACTATCGACTGCTATATATAAGCGATGAAAGTTTCTTTAAACGTGAAGTTTCTAGTTCAGCGGTGTGTTGTCTGTCTATCCACCTCATTCAATGCAGCTGGCTGGAACCGTACCCCAACAAGCTATGAATAATAAAATAAACAAGACCAGGAGCACTCGTGCAAGCCCTTCAGCAAGTAAGATCTGGCCTGATTACGCATCTCCGTAAGGTCGAACAGTTCTGCAGGGACAACAGCTCTGCTTTTATTGACGTTCAGCTTCTAAACACTATGATTACAAGTAAATATGTCTGTACAGATTAGAGAGAAAGCATGGCAATCGTAGAGGATACAGTCGTATTCGTTGGAATGAGAACCCTCAAAACTACCACCCTTGAAACCATTCAATCTTTCAGAAAAGTTTGTCTGGTCCTAATAAACATGTTAAGGGCCGCTTAGTAAGCACAGCACAGTTACATAGTTAGGTGAGACGAACCACCGCCAAGAGCATTTGGTCATTACAGGGACAGAACATAAAGCACGACGATCCAGGGAACTAAGAAAGCAGCAACACATGTGAAATGTTAATGGCGTCAATACATTAGTAGACGTTGCAAATGAGTTGTTTAGAACATCTTCACTTTGAACGCAGCACGTGATGACCTTGTTTTTTCTCTATAATTTATTATCTTGAAATAAATATTTTTGTTACATTTTACTGATAATCAATAAAATTGAAAATAAAACAAAGACTGATTTTTTCATCCTAATAAAGAACTGAGGAAGTTCAAATTACCGAAGTACAATGTCGTATGTAAGTAAAGTGGTTTTGATCTTTTTGAAACTTTTTTTAAAAGAAAGAAGAAGTGAAATATACATATTATGCTAAAAATGAAATAAAACCCAACACTCCAAATGCAAATAAAAATATATACAGTGCGAGAAAAAATGCAGCCAATAAAAGTGGAACAAACGCAAACAATTTACATGTAGTAGCTTCTACAAAAATGTGCTTTCAAGTAGCCCTAAAATGCAAGAAAAGTATGAGGCATGTGCTTTACAACACGGCATCATTATGCCGGTTATGCAGTTCCACGAGTTCGCTGAAGGTTGCTCTTACTATACGCTTTGGGATATCCGAGTAACTGAGCCACATGCAATTGAAATGTAACATAAAGAACTAATTACCCTTTTCAAACAAATAATACCTAAGTCAGCGTGCATGCTCAGATATAGATAGCTCTTCATTGCTCAGAAACTTTCAGGACCATGTCCTCACATGGAGGTTATTTTGGACTACGGCATTATTTGTTCCTACCTCTGGAAAGCAGAGTCATTCGCTCCTTGTGATCCGTATCAAACAATCCCTCTATACGAAAGTCGCTTCTGCAAATGAAAGAAATACTCCTGTACAATAACAGAATCAGGGCTAAAAATTGAAAAAAAAGACTTACCTTTTTCCTTTGAAGAACGAAGACCTTTTGAAAATAATGGACAATGCGCTGATGTATTCTAGTTGATTGACCTCGCATTGAAGCTGTGCTCTGCTGGTAGTTTTATACGTCCATATTTTCTCAGATGTGTTGACGAACTGAGGGAACAATAAAGCTATGATATTAAAAAGTAAGACTCTACGTTCGTACAGCAAGCGGTCATACTAGACTGGTAGAATGTCTGTTGGGCAGCAGGAGCGAGATTTTCTTATGTTATGCTAGAAGAGTCCCGGCGAAATTGGTATAGGTGTTCCGAACAAAGCTCAATCACACGTTGGATTGCATTGGGTAGCTGATATTCGTTTTTCAGCTCACTTATGGACAGTTAAAGTGAAATTGTTTCGTTCTTTAATGAAGAAAGTGACAGTAAGCTTTTGTATGCACTATTTAAGTATGTTATTGTGATTAGTGCCAGTAAGATATGGTACACTTTGACGTGTGGTTTGAAAATGCAGTATTTCAGGTGGTAAAAAAAAAGCTAGGTGATCCATGCCGAACTTGATAACCTGTGCACCCCGACTATTAAAATCTGCAGCCACTGCAAATCCGAACGGACCTGGTGCAACTAATGTTGCACTGCCTGCTTTACCCTGGAACCAGGGAAAAAGCCATTGTGACAATTCTACCGGATCGGCACCCGACTTCATTCCTGGCCTTAGCACAACTCTGGCACTCACGTAGGTGCCCTTCACGAGCTATAGCGGTCGCTTCTCAAAATCCTGGAGAATTCCAAGGCTTGAACCTTTGGCATCATGCTCCGTCTAAGGCGTAACAGCCAGAACGTCAAGTCGCACGACGCTCATTAAGACTGCTTTATCCTGTGCCCCCTCCACCATTTTCCTTTTTTATTGATTCAATTCTGCTACATTCAACGCAGCCCTCTAAGGACTTATATGTGGATGTGTCAGATACAACTACACGACAAGTACATGCAGTTCCATAATACGACAGTTGAAGACGTGATTTTTTTCAGACGTGGTCTTATCGTTATCCTCGAAGCTTTCAGTGGATTAGGGCAATACTTCCACAGCAGGCTTTGTTGACAGGGCGTGATAACAAACTTAGCCATGAGCATTATGGTTCCAGGAGAAATAAATGAAGAAATTGCACCCATCTTTCGTCAATAAGTGATACTCGAACTGCGCGTGAGGTCGGTTGATTTCGCACGCTTTTTATCAGAGAGGTACGTAACGCCTTACAAGTAATTAGGTACTTGTAATAAATTTCAGTATTGTAGTTTCGTGATATAAAGCAGCATTCTTTTGCAGCTAAATTTTCAGAGAATCTAAGTAGTTTTTTTTGCAAATGATAACCCGTGATCATTGCTTTTTTACAGTAGAGTTATATGGACACTCTCGACTGCTGTTTTTTGCCACTGACGTCATGCCTCTCTCTCTCTCTCTCTCTCTCTCTATATATATATATATATATATATATATATATATATATATATATATTGTGATGACCGAAGGCAAAGAAGAGAACTGGATTATGGGGTATGGGCTTGCGACTGGCACACAACAGAATAGTACCGCTTACCCGACAAACCGGTGTAGTGTCTTTCTCGCTCCGTACAATGAAGCCGTCGCCAACTGTACAGTCATCGGAATACGTTGACCCGGCTACATCTTCGGCCCTTCCCAGTCAACAAGTATTTCCGGAGTCCGAAAACGGCGTTCAAGCCTCTACGGTGGCTCCACGGCAGTACGGCGGCGCTGAACTTGCCTTGCTTTTGCAACAGATAAACAATGTGGTACGATGGTCTACATCCGCTATTGAGTGTGCTGCACTCAGGTTACTTCCTGAGACCGAAATTCCGGAGTTTCATGGGTTTGAGGACTACGCAATCGGCTGAATCGGCACCGTCGACTCTGTCGCATGAGGATAGTATTGGCCTGAACTCACCGAAAAATTCGTCGCGGAAGATCGTCTACGAGGAGCTGCCCAAGCGTGGCAGCGTTTCCAGGGACACAAGTACTTATCGCGGTCTACTTAGAGCGCTGTCTTGACGTCTACATTTTCACCAATTTCAGGTGCGCACGACACTCGATTTATTAAGATGCGGTCACGCTGGCAAGCACCCACAGAAGACATTTCCACCTACAGTTACGAGAAATTACCCCTCCTACAGGCGTATCACAAAGCCTGGCCCTCTCCGGCAGCCAGACAGTACGTCGTCGATGGCCTATATGACCCTGCACACGCTGCAATACTGTCTGTGCAAACAGAACAAGATGACATTCGCACTTTTATCCAAAGGGCAGCGGAATCACAGGACAGTGATAGATGGCGGTTTTATGCTCTCCCTGCGCAGGAACGTGTGGCAATGCGACATGCTTGCTACGGGTGCGCTCACTGCGGAAATAGAAGCGAGAGGTGCCCTCAAGCTTTACACCAAGCCATCCAATACCAATCGCGTCTGTTCCCTACAGTTGGCGTTCGTGTCGATGACATGGAGGAGCTTACAGCACTAGTGAATACTGGAGCGCAGCGCACAGCGTTGCTTCGACAACACGCTTCCTCCACCTTCCAGCCCTGGACTTACCCACCTCTCTGCGGCCTCGGTGGCAGCGTCTTGCCGGTCGGTGTGCTCGACATGCAGCTCCAAACAGAAGACGAGAGTAAATTCCTGGCTGCCGTACCGGTATTCGAACAGCTGCCCACAGGCTTGGTCCTGAGAGTGGACTATCACCTATCTGATGACGTACAGCGTGTGATCAAGTGTGGCGAAGTCTTCGTACGTTCATAAGTCTCGGGTTCAACAAAAGTTACTAAAGAAGAGGTGAGGCTGATGGACCTACAACACTGTCCTCAGTGCTCGAACGGCATAGAGCGATTTTTGTGGAAAGCAAATCGCAGCTACCAAGTACTAGCTTACTTGAACATTGCCTACCCACAAATGGTCACACACCCATCTCTGTACCACTGCGACATTACGTCGAACGCGAATGGGCCGCAATCACTGATTAAGTGGAGCAAATGCTGACCGCTGGCGTAATCAGACCTTCGCCTAGCCCTTGGGCCGCACATGTCATCCTTGTCCGGAAAAAGAATGGGAGCCTCAGGTTTTGTTTCGATCATCGAGAATTGAATAAGCACACAATTCCTGATTCGTGCCCGCTTCCTAGCATTGATGATGCCATAGACACTGTACGGCACTCTAGATTTTTTTCGTCACTTGATCTCTGTGCGAGATACTGGCAAATTAATGTTGCCAAAGAAGACAATTAGTGCAAAACCGCGTTCCGGACGCCTTAGGGTCTATATAAGATTAACCGCATGCCCTTGGGGCAGCGAACAGTGCCGAGTACATTTTAGAGTGCCATGAATGTGGTCCTCAGCCCACTGAAATATCACGCTTGTTTCATGTATTTTCACGACGTGTTGGTCATGGGAGCAACATGAAAGGAACATCTGCGCGATTTCGGTGAACTTCTCCAACAACTATTTGATGCCAGGTTTTAGCTTAACAGAAAAAAATGCCAGTTTTTATCGCCCATGATCTCTTACCTGGAACGCACCACTTCTGCAGATGGTGCTCAACCTTCACCTGAATTAGTAGCAACTGTAGCTAATTTCCCTGCTCCAACGCGTCTGAAACAGCTGCAGGCATTTCTGGGCCTCGCGTCGTACCTGCGCAACTTTGTTCCCTAACTTTGCATCAACAGCAGCCCCACTCACGAATATGCTTAAGAAAGCGTCGACTTTTGCGTGGGGTCCTTCAGAGGATGCTGCCTTTCATTTACTCAAGCAACGGCTCGCTAAGTGTCTCGTTTTCAGTCATTCTCACGATAAATGGGACACTGAAGTGCACACCAACGCAAGCCAGGTTCGTCTAGGAGCAGTCCTCGTTCAGCGCGACCCAGATGGAGCTGAGCATGTCGTAGCTTACGCCAGCTGCATGCTATCAGACGCTTAACGTGATTACCAGTCAAGCCAGTTAGAGTGCCTGGCTGTGGTCTGGAGCGTGGACGACAAGTTCCAGCACTACTTGTTCTGTCGCAAGTTTACGGTATGGATGGACAATTCTCTGATTGCGTGGATGTTTGCCAAACAACAGCTGAAACACAAGTTTGCTCACTGGATCATGCGGCTACAAGACTACACCTACGACGCGAGGAACCGCACAGGACAATGAACCAGATTGCTGATGCACTGTCACAAAACCCGTGCGAGAAAACCTCTCCACAAGCCAAAGGAGGCAAGATTTGGTTCTGGCAACAGCATATCTCAAACTCTCAACAGTACGATGCGGATTTGACAACAATGAGAACGTCTCTAGATGGCACGCACAGCAATTCAAAGTTTGTCCTTCGTGGAAGAATATTCATATACGTCAATGAACTACTAACCAAGAATAACGCCACCTATTAGTCATTCCATCGACTATGCGTCCTTAAATCCTGCACGTCATGCATGATGTCCCGGAAGGTGGACACGTAGGTCACCGAGCTATTCTTCGGAAGGCCCAAGAACGGTTCTTGTGGCCGAGCATGTAGAAAAAGTGTTCGATCATATGTCGCAAGTGGCGAGGTGTGCCAAAAGCATAGCATCCCTCGGAATGCCAACCTGGACTACTTACACCTACTCCGCCCCCAGATACTGTTTTTGACACAATGGGGATTGACCACGTCGGTACATTACTGACTACAGCAACAGGAACCAATACATCATAGTCACCATGAACCACTTCCTAAAGTTCGTGGAGGTTGCTGCAGTGCCCTCTCTCGCAGCAAGCAGTGTGACCAGACTTTTGCAGGACCGCTTCATGCATTTGTGGGATTGAACGTCCCAAAACCACGATATGATTATATGAGACGCCGTGTTGAAGGGCTACAGAAATTTCGACCAGCTGGGGTTCTTTAACGCGCACCCAGATCTGAGCACACAGGCCTACAACACTTCCGCCTCCACCAGAAATGCAGCCGCCACAGCCGAGATTTGATCCCACGACCTGCGGGTCAGCATCCGAGTACCTTAGCCACTAGACTACCGCGGGGGTGGCTGCAGGACCACTTTGAATGGAGACACGGCCTACCTAGAAAGATCATCTCGGATAGAGCGACTAGTTACCGCAGTCGTGAACTCCGGACGTAGC